TGTATCTGATTATTATTATTATTATTATTATTATTATTATTATTATTATTATTATTTATTTTTGTTTAATTATCTCATAAGTGTAATTTTTTGTTTAATTATCTCATAAGTGAGTTTTTAACTTTTAACTTGGGATAGAGGGCCACTGGTTCGTCAGTTTTTAACTGTTATGTGTTACCCTCTGTAAATAACGTTGTTACTTACTTACTTTATCCAGGAATGTTTCTTCTACAATCGCATATTATGGGGAACGTATCACTCGTTTAGAGCCAATGATTTTCCTGAGGTTCGAGACAAGTCAAACAAATGTCACTTTCGGGTATCCGGGTATTTGCCATCTTGGAAGGGGTGATGATCACGTGCAATACATATGTGCTTGTTTTCCCAGAAAGCTACTGTCGGAAACCACTCAACAGATTCCGAGAATCCATCTTACACGAAGGAGGTCTTCCATCATTGTCCTGACGAAAAATATCGTAAATCGTTGAAAGGTCGGTTTGGACTATTTGGTCAGTTTAAGATAAAGGTAAGCAGCAGCAACATGGCCAAGAATCCCGAGAGGAAAATATTTATAAGCGGCGAAACAGGTTGTTTGTCGATGTATATGAATGTTGTGATGATGCAAAGCGACGCGATGTCAAATTGGACCAGCATTATACCATGCACTCAGAACTTGAGGTAGAGGAAATTAACTTGAAGATTCAAACAGTTAAATACGTTACTATTCTGTTCCTTTTTGCTTGTCATTCCTATTTACCTGCATATTTTCAAGACAAAATGGAACACGATGAAGACGATTCGTTACCAAATTAATCTTATTCGACTATTATTTGGTCAAATGAATTAGAAGATGAGATAGATAGTTGTATGTAGCAAAACATTGCAAAGAAAAGTACGACTAGGTTCATTTGGCCAGTCTGTGCTGGAGATCACGGCTTCTACCGTGCAAAGGTTACGAATAAGCAGTAGGACCATTTTAAGACATATCAACGCCGTCCAGATCAATGCTTTGCAAGAGACGCAAACAGGATCGTTCCATTATTGGTGATGTTCTCTGGACTATTAACTGTGTTTCGCTGCGTTTTGCGACCTGTATCTTTTGTCTTTTTTATGAAATCAAAATGCGTGTGATGAATAGGTAGATTCACTGACGAATACAGATCAATAAGCAGATATAATGAATTATACATGTCCACCGCTATATTTCATTCGCAAACAACATTAGTAACCGACTAGAAGCATCTTAATTTATAAATAAAAATTAGGAAATCAACGTTCATTTTATCTGATAACCACTGAACTAACAGGTAATATTTTTCATAAAGACGAGCATTTCACAATAGTTACCTTCAATAAGGTCGTAGTAGTTGCAAGTATGATAAATATTGTAAGAAATAGACAACTTTTTTGAGAGACATGTCTGGGCATGCTTATACCGGGCGATTTTTCAGGTCGCTTAGGGAGTGACAAGCGGAAGTCCCGTGAAAATAGTTGTTTTTCCAACTCGTGGAATAGCGCTTTATACTAATGACGTCATGAAATTTTAGACCCCACGCGTGACTCAGACAAACAATCTCCACTTCTTTAAGAGCTACAAGGGAAATGGCGAGTAGTTCGCTTATTCCCCTACAGTTCTGACCGAAGAGGACGGCGTTTCTGGCTCCAAATTTGAAAGAGAACCGGAAGAATACACTGTAGACCAGCTAAAACGGTGGTTAAAATGTAGGGGCTTAAAATTAAGCGGTAAACGAGAAGATCTTGTACAGACTGTGTGAGATGCGGGAATTATCACACCCTTGATCCGGCAATCGATCATGGAAAATGGTTTGCTGCCAAAGTTTTTCAAGAAAATTCTGATGTAAACAATGTAAAAAGGGGGTTGACAGGCCTACACGACTCCCCAGCGCGTGTTTAGAATAGCCTATTCAAAGTTTGGCTCTCACGAGCATGTTTTTGAGCGATCGCCCTCTTTTGTAAGATACGAGCGGCGGATTTTTGTATATTTCGCTCAATACTGATTGTGTTTCTATTAAATGCCAGTTCATGTAGTTTATGTAGTTAATGTTCAGGCAGTTGTCATTGAATAATTTCTGTTTCTTTGACGCTGAATTTTCTCTTTCTTTCGGTGCTTTCCTCTAAGGAGCATGTGCTCAACTTACTTGCGCTGGTCTTAGATTTGCCTTTAGTGGATCGGGAAATTCGGCTGTTGGACCTTTTNGATATGTTGTGATGATGCAAAGCGACGCGATGTCAAATTAGACCAGCATTATACCATGCACTCAGAACTTGAGGTAGAGGAAATTAACTTGAAGATGCAAACAGTTAAATACGTGACTATTCTGTTCCTTTTTGCTTGTCATTCCTATTCACCTGCATTTTTCCGAGACAAAATGGAACATGATGAAGACGATTCGTTACCAAATTAATCTTATTCGACTATTATTTGGTCAAATGAATTAGAAGATGAGATAGATAGTTGTATGTAGCAAAACATTGCAAAGAAAAGTACGACTAGGTTCATTTGGCCAGTCTGTGCTGGAGATCACGGCTTCTACCGTGCAAAGGTTACGAATAAGCAGTAGGACCATTTTAAGACATATCAACGCCGTCCAGATCAATGCTTTGCAAGAGACGCAAACAGGATCGTTCCATTATTGGTGATGTTCTCTGGACTATTAACTGTGTTTCGCTGCGTTTTGCGACCTGTATCTTTTGTCTTTTTTATGAAATCAAAATGCGTGTGATGAATAGGTAGATTCACTGACGAATACAGATCAATAAGCAGATATAATGAATTATACATGTCCACCGCTATATTTCATTCGCAAACAACATTAGTAACCGACTAGAAGCATCTTAATTTATAAATAAAAATTAGGAAATCAACGTTCATTTTATCTGATAACCACTGAACTAACAGGTAAAATTTTTTACATAAAGACGAGCATTTCGCAATAGTTACCTTCAATAAGGTCGTAGTAGTAGCAAGTATGATAAATATTGTAGGAAATAGACAAATTTTTTGAGAGACATATTTCGGCTTGCTTATGCCGGGCGATTTTTCAGGTCGCTTAGCGAGTGACAAGCGGAAGTCCTGTGAAAATAGTTGTTTTTCCAACTCGCTTAAAGTCAAGCGAGTCGGCAAACTTCAGTGGAATTCTCATTGAAACAAGTAGTTAAGCGAGTTGGTAATTCCGTTCGCCCAATCAGGAGTCGTTTGAGGTTATTCATTTGGCAGGGCTGTCAAATCGGAAATACAAGACGCGTGGTATTTTTAGTCTCCCGTGTGAAGCGTTCAAATCATCATGTATAATCATAATAGAGCGAGTAATTCTTCTCTTTATCCAAGAAGCTTCGCACTATCAAGCGATGCAAGGTGAGTTTATTTCGAGTCCTTTAAACATTCCAGATGCAAATCATTCAGCTAACTCAACAAATCATACGCTTTAGGACATCTGGCCGCTTCGTGATTCCTCCTGTGAGCGATCACTTTGCCGATCCCGTTCCCGCACGTGGTCCATATATATTTCCAGTCTTCCAAAATCAACTGTGGCTTCCACAAGCAAGATTTTGCCGACCAGATTCGCTGACCGAATCGCAAATTACCCCATACCGCCATATTATTCAAATTAATTTTTTCGCGCGCGTGTTCTCAAATTACCAAAGTGAAATATAATCTTCCTCGTGAAAACACCTATGATTTTTAAGTCGCTTAACTTAGTCTGTGAAAATAACACCCTCAGGAATGTTAAGCGAGACAACCGGCGTCGTGAAAACACGCGGAATGAGTAACAGAACGTGAGTAATTAGATAATAGACAAGTAAATGAATAAAATATTTACAGTATGATGTAATACAAAAGTGGGTACTAATTACAACGTGACACCAAACATTAAAGGTGTGAACTAAAAGGCAAGAAAAGTGTAATAATGCTGTATTTAGCCAAGTATTTAAGTTCTCTTCTTGCTCTGCTTTTACCTAACAAGTATTCGGTCACAGAGTCATTCTCTTTTGTTGAAGAGCTCAGGAGTTTCGATCTTAACAAGTTTCTCATTTCCTTTGATTTTGAAAGTCTTTTGCCAATATTCCGTTCAATGAAACTATCGATATTGCCGTTGATCTTATTTTCAAGCATAGCCCTAAATTTTCATCAAAAAATCCGACCTTAAGAAACCGTTTTCATTCGCTTCAGCTGAGACTCATTTTCTTTTTAAAGGAAAATTTTATGATCAAGTTGATGGGGTAGCGATGGGTTTTCCGTTAGCACCCATCTTAGCTAATCTTTTTCTTGGTTTCCACGAGGAAACATGGCTAAATAATTCTAACCATTAGACTCGCCTTCTACTTTATAGGCGTTATGTTGACGACACCTTCTGTGTCTTCCACAATGAACAGCACGCTATGTAATTTTTGATTACATTAATTCACGGCACCCAAACATAAAATTCACTTTCGAAAAAGAGAGTGATGGTAAACTCTCCTTTCTCGATATATTTATCGACAACTCTTCGAATGATTATGTTTTTTCAGTTTTTCATAAAAAACCTACACTGGTCTCCATACAAATTTCATTAGTTTTATTCCATCCTGCTACAAAATTGGCCTTATCCGAACTCTTATTGACCTTATCTGCAAAATCAACAACACCTCTTCCGGCCTTCAAAACGATCTTAACAAACTTTCCGACACTTTAAAACGTAATTCTTTTCCTTCGCATATTATTGAAAGAACTTTCAAGCGATATCTTGACGGTTCCTCCTCTCAAAATAGCGGGAACATTGATGACAATAATACACGTTACTTAAAACTCCCTTTTGTCGGCTCTTATTTTAAAATAGCGAACCTTAAACTCCAACAACTCACTAAGCGCTTTCGTAAATCGGACCTAAATGTCAAACTAGTTTTCACTTCTTTTAAAATTAAAAGATCAGTGTTCAGTGTTAAAGATCGTACTCCTGATGCCCTAAAATCCATGGTAGTTTATCAATTTTCTTGTGCGGGATGTAATTCCCGCCATATTGGCGGAACTAGTCGCCACTTCTCTACTAGGATAAAGGAGCGCACGGAAAGCGATAAAACTCGCATTATTTTAAGCATCTCAACACATCTTCTTGTAAGAACAAATACTCCCTTTCTTGCTTTAGTATTCTGGATTCTGCTAACAACTCAATTGATTTAAAACTCAAAGAAGCTTTTTATNAATTTAGTTACATACATACGTTAGTTGACCACTCCATCGGAGTGGTCAACTAACGTATGTATGTATGTATCAGAACTCGTTCTTTCGATCACTTACAACTGAGTTTGGCCCTCATAGCAACTGAGCTACAAGGCTGCATGTTGTGATCAATGCAAAGCAAATATCACTGAACTTTCCACCGAGGAATCGGCTTGCAAATAATAAAATATTCATTTCATAAGATGAAAATCTTTATTCTTTTCAGGTTATCAATATTATGTATGCAAACTGAACTTGGTAGATAATCGTATCTTTGAACGTAAAACTGGCGGAAAATGTCGTTTTTCTTAGCTTGTTGAAGTTTTAAGCCCTTTTACTATGGAGTTACCGTTTATTTCTTTTATTAAACTTATCATCGAGCTTCAAACCTATCGACTACTGAACGAAATCTGCATATCATTTCAGTTAACTTTGTCAGTCAGCTGTCCTCTATATAAGTTGTTTATCATTACTATGCCCGCTGGGTGAGAGTGCACAAGCTCTATAAGTATGAGCGTACCCCACAGTATTTCCTAATACGGTTAGACAGTTTGAAAATTTTGGTCTTAAAAAAAGCCGCAAACGATTTACGCGGAAACCACAAAAACACATCGCGTCTGTCTCCTCTGCACCCGGTGAATAAAAGGGTAAACAATGAAAAAAATCATTCGCTAGTTGACGAATCCTCGTGTGAGTTTTATTCTCGACTTCGGCGTTGATGCAAAGTTTACGAGCGCTTCATTTGACTGACAAATCGCGATCGCTTTGTACATCAATTGCAACGTTCAAACGTTAGGTTTTGAAAACAAGGATAAACTTCATAGGCATGGTCCTAGAACAAAAAGTGGAAATGGCACTTTTTGGTATGAAATAGGGTCAGGATTTAGTGAGAAGAACGGTGAATCCCTACCAAGAAGTCCGAAGTGTACCTTATCCCTCTAACTCGGGGAAAAGACATCACCGGAAGTTGCAGCTGAATTTTCCTAGAATCGTATATTTTTTTTTTATTTTATTTATTTTATTTATTTTTTAATCCTCGCATTTTAAGACAGGGTCATCATGTTTATCTAATTTTCCTCCGTGAGAGGCAATTATTGATGAAATGGCCGCTGTCTAACAGTTGAAAAACTTCTTTGGGGGCGTCTGAATAAAGATTGAAGACTAACGTAAGAAGGGCCTGAAACAAGTTTTTCCTATAGATAAAATTTGGTACCACAATTCCGGACTGTTGAAACATGTTTTTCCGATAGATATTAATTGGAAACATGTTTTTCCTATAGATGAAAATCTGGTGCCACAATTACGGAAATAGTTCGAGAAATATAACTGACGTGGCAAAATCCTAGAGATGACAAATGTATCTGATATATTAGTGCTGATTTTCACGTGATCGTCACGGTTTGTGAGCAAAGTTGAGATTATATGTTTTTTTTTTTTTGCATTCGCCGACAGTCAACACCGCTCAATCAGTGAGAAAGACAACAACTTCCCTAGGAGGGTTACGGACCACTAACATCTCGAAACCTTTATACAGCGCTTGTGATCACAGTGATCAGAGAATAACCACATTAAGGTACCGATGAAGAATTTATGTGTTAAAATAATTGTTGATATCGAGGTGGTAGGACGCCACTTAACGCCATGCGACGGTTTCTCGGAATTTGGGCTATGTTTTAAGAATGTACTGTAGCTAATACCGAACAGTTAAGCTGAAACAGCAACGTTTGAAAGAGTTAATGAGTAAGAGGTACCACGATAAACACAGTGATGCAGTGTGTTGCGTCTGCAGTTTGCGATCACTTTGTTTAAAAATACATGGAATGTTTCTGCATCAGTCACACCGCATGCAAATATGAAAGTCTCACAAGATAGTGTGGTTAACGTTCATATAATTACGAAAGGTAAAGAAAATGCTCTATCTCATGTTCTATTAAGGTAAAAATTAGTATATATTGAAAATTACGGTGGGTGACTTGTCAAAGCATTCTGGATTATTGTTGATTCTTCTTAAGGTGTACACGTTAAACATTGTTTTTTTTCTTTTATGTCAATTTGCCAAGTATAGTTTGCATATTTGCTTTTTATTTTTCTTGGAAAGATAGAAGCGACTGGAAAACTGCCTCTAAAAAAATTATCAAGAGTGTTGTAGAACTCCTAGAAAGCGTGCGCGTTAGCGAATCTTATTACGGGCCGGCGTGAGGTTTTAACACGTATACCGTACACAGAAGAAGTCTCTTGAACAACGTGCCGTGGTTTACGTCTGCGAAGAACTTTTACAGACGATTGACTCGCAGACCCAAGTAGTGAGAGAATCGTCTGTATTTCACTTCCACAAATTCTTAGGTTTTTTATGGAACTTTTGGGCGTCGCAGATAATAGTTCGCTTTGTTCCGTCGAACAGAATACGAAAGACCCAATACGTAGGAAGAAACGTGTTTAATTTGATAAAACAATTCAATCTGAAATACAAAGAAACCACTCGGCCTTAGAAGTGTTCTAAACAAACAGAAAAGTACCTCTAAAAACCTGGAAATTAACTGAAAACTTACTTCTTGACTGCCTCCGCACTTGTGGCAAATAACTGGTTAGCAATATTACAATAACTGGTCCGCTTGGTTGAAACTAAAGTGAACGATTGAACAACTAGATTACGCCTCTTTAATTAAAGGTTTTATGCGACAAACAGCCGCTGTGATAATTATTGCGATATATGCATTGAAACGGATCGCGCACACAACAGTAAACATAAATAGCGCGTTTGTTAAACTTGACTATTAATTATAATAAATTGAGTGCCCAGTGAAAAACAATTAGTAGTTTCTAACCTGAATTTGTTCGATTTTTAACAGATGTTAGCACGATGAAGCTGTTACAATTAAATTTCGACGTACTCTCCCTTGATGGCGGAAATGAAGTAAGTAATCTTGGCTTGCAATTATGATTTTCAGACTTAGGATTTATTGGTGGTTAGGCGTATGGTTTGGTTTGAAACAATATTATACAATTTTGAAGATAATAAAATTGAGCAACATGAGAATCACCAGCTAGGCCTTGTTAGATGAAACAGCGAATCTAAGTGAATATTAATGCTATGCGCAACCAAACTTATCTTCCAGGTAACCCCTTCCAGTTCCATACTGCAGTATATAAAGTTCTATCGTGCTTTTATATCTCCGAAAAATCCAAAAGTTCAAAATACGCCTAGATACATGGCTGTTCTCCCCACCGTAAAGCAATGAAAATTTATGCAACTTCGGCAACTTCTTATGTCAACTTCGATGCAATCCCGCTATTAAATTTTTTGTGCGAGTAGATGATCCTTTTATCTCTTCGAAAATATAAATTACTTGTCACGTTGTTATCTTTAAGTCTGGATAGTGATCCGTTGAAATAACGTACTTCGCGCCTTTTTCGCAGAGAAATAAAGGCCAACTTTAGTGACCTCTGAGGGGTCTGTCATATACATTTACAAATCATAATATACATCGAATTAAAGCTTTGTCCTTATATATCCGCCATAAGCGGCGTGTTCAGGTTGAAAAGAGTTTGGGCTATTTTGTCAAAAATGCGATTCGAACCGTTGAGCAGCTGTCACAACCTATTTACAGGCCTTTAAAAACGTCTGCAACTGTCGGCGGACTCTCGATATTTATGGTCCGTGGCTCTTGAAAACTGATCCCGCTTCTCACGAAGAAAAAATAAGTTACTCCTGGATTCTACAGCTTTCTTCCATACCTAACGAAGGAAGAGACTAGAGCCGAATGTTGTTAACGATGTTTTGCTGAATTTCGTTTCACGAAGTCGTACTGACAAACTTCAGTTAATTTTAAGAGGACGCGTTTCAACCATAGTAAGACAATCAATGAACCGCTCATAGCTCAAGCTGTTCGAGAAGGGTGATTTTTAGTCGGGTGCTGGGGTTTCTAACGAAACAAATGACGAAGGGCGTAGTTGCCGAGGGATTTCACGCCTTTTAAAGATAAATTTTAGACTCTCAGAAGATTCCTCCCAGGTGGTTCATATTTGAGAAGTGTAGCAAACAATTTTAAAGTTGCACTAAGATTTTACGGAGTAGTAAAGCTATTTAAGCGAATGGGGTTGAAATTTCTTCTAGTGATAGTGTTTTCCATAACTTAATATTTAGATCCTTATGGTCTTGATTTTCAGATGAGTAACCGAGTTTAAATTCAACGAGCATCACTCTGTATGTGAGTATGGTTAACGATAGTTATCAAAACGCCAGTTGGCGTTACCGAACACAATTTATTTAAAGTTATTTTTCAATCAGATTAAACTTTTGAGGTGCTCTTCTCTGTTGGGATGCCCCATTCTCCTTGCCTTATTCTCAGTTAGGACTAAACTTTTTTAGTGGATGAAATCTTTTCATGAGAATATTTAGAATGCAATCGGCAAACTTTTGTGAACGTTTGAAAAATGTAAAATTTGATACTCCAGGCTCCTGTGTTGTCTGGCCTAGAGAACGATCAAAACCTGGTCTGACCTAATCAAGCTTGAACTCGAGTTCAATTTAGAAGTTGATAATTTATTGCTGTGGGACTACCACCAACAACAGCTAATAAGAATACGAGCCTCGTTCAAAAGCGGCAAAATGTATTCATGCATTAAAAATATCTCGCTCAACAAGAACCAAGACCCCCTAGCAGCACGAATGAAAGCACTTACTTTCGAAATACACACAAATTAACATAGGAACGAAAACTACATTGACTCTACCAGGAATCTATTTTTTATATAACAGTAAAGCAATAATATCTGAATTAAAATCAAATAGCCTCCTTTATACAAGAAAACCCTTATAAATGAAAACCTGTCAAAACGATACATCGTATCGAAGAATTTGGCTTGGGGTTTGAACATTTGAGTCTATTTTCAAGATTTACAAGAAACGATGAAAGTAAGGAATTTTTCCAGTCATTGGCAAAAAAAATCTATGCATTACTTGAGTGTTTGTAAATATGAAAAACAATTAAAATCTGACATACTTTCATGTGTTCGTATCATCAAAACTGAAATGATTTGTCATCCAGTTTACTTGAATTTTTTTCTGAATATACAAATATGTAGTAAATGGCTTGAACCCGGGGATAACATGTGAAAGTGTAGTGTGATCGTCCGGGTGAGTGTAGTCCTGAGAAGGACTGTTAACGGTGGTAGTGACTAACGTTTCGACAACCTGTGCGGAAGTGATCATCAGAGTCAAGTGAATAGTTGTCAGTATAATGTTCTTATTTCAGTTCGTGTAAAGCGATTGGTCAGTTTTGCCGTGATGCTATTGGCTACAAGACTCAAGTGGCGTAAGTCGGTCGTGATTGGTCTGTTTCGATCCGTCGGTAAAGTTAGGTCGTTCTGTTCTGTTCGGTTCGTTTGTA